AATGAAAGAATTGACTGTGTATATCAGCTTTAAATATATAATCAGTTGTATATTCTTAGACTATATAAATGAAAGGAGAATTGCCTATGCCGCCTATCTATCTAGCCTAAAATCAAACATCTGTGCGAAAGAGAAAGCTAAAGTGTAAAAGTTCCAAATGTTTACAATGCGTATACGTAGACCGTCATCTGCATGAGAATTGATTCAATTTTTTCTCGCACATTGACAACAAAGTAGAACGAAATGAACAATGAAGTGGAATGAGGGAAAGGGGGTTAAGAGTGCCATATGCGCATTATAGTCAATTGGGATTCTATAGCTTTCTCACTCGCACGCATACATAGATATTAGCTTAGAAGTTCAGCACACAATTGCTCTTCCATTTATATACATTCTCCTGAGTAGATTTGACTAATTAAAATTAGTATTAAACCGTAATCAGATTGGAGATTGAAATTAAGGTTGAATTGGAATTTAACCAATCAGAAAAAAAGAAAACCAATTCCAAATTTAGTAAACTTTTGTTTTGGTTGGTTAAATTTCAATCTAATCTAAATTTCTAGTCTGATTACGGCTTTAACGAAAGAGTTTTATTAGGATTAATCTTGATTAGTTAAATCAAGCTAATAATAATTTGATGAATTTTGGTTTTTTTACAATATAAAATTTCAATATAATGCGTTTACATATAGGACTCTGTTCACAATGAACCTGATGAATGTAAAACCTGATCGTGGTTTTTACAAGATATTAATAACTGCAGCTTCGGTCAAGAGTACGATTACAGTAAAAGTCTTATCTGAAGCAATATTGGACTACTTAGAGATTGGTACTGGTGATGCCGATCAGACAACTCAACCAAAACTTACGAGGTGTTCACATGATTCGTAATATTTTACATACTAAATTATATATCTTTTAACAAAATATTCTATGTTTATATTCATTTATGTCTCTTTAATTTTCAGAATAAACACAGAATCTTCCTCAGGCAAGCTCGAACATAAAATAGAAGCTGATTCTCAGCAAAAATTAGTCATGCGATTTTTGTTGCGTGATTCTGCCAATAAGAAACCGATGCGTGTGCATCAAGCCTTCGTGCGTCTTACGTCCGTTTCCACGTCTACTAATAATAAGCGAGGCCATGAAATCTTTTTCGTCGCTGAACCTGATGCTACTCACATTTATAAATTTGATATGGTAATTTTTTATGCTGTACGTTACTTAAATTAAATATATATTAGAGACTCAACTGACCTAAGTATAGGATCGTCTACTCTACAACAGGAGTAATATGGTATAGTAAGGTGTTATAATTTACTCGATGCTACAAGTGCTAAACAAATATTTTTTGATTGTTAAAATTCTTTTTAATTAGCAAAATTCTTTCGATTGGTCAATCAAATGCTTTGAAGCATTTGTAGCACCAAGTGGACCACACTCTTAAGTCGTAAGCCGCAAGAAATCGATCAATCAGTCGAATGTAAAGAAATGATCGACTACGATTGATTAGTTTCTTACAGCTTACGGCAATATTGAGTTCTTTCCAATTGCAATATTCCTAGACACTTTCGTGCGACACATGTTGCATTCCAATTGCCTATTATCGTCGACACAACACTACATATCTATACTCAGCCGAGGGCTGTGTAAGCTTGTGTTTTCTAGTGACAATTACATGTTACTAACCCCAGCGATTATAAATGAGGTTGGAGAACGTTGAGTGGCCGGCACTTTTAATTTTTTTTATTTAATACAGACGGAAAAAACTACATTTAATCTAACTCTATCTAAAACGGATTTCATCTGGAGACACGGTAGGGTCTCGGTGCTAAGACAAGCGCAGCGTCATGGCGCGAGACACTGCTGTGCTCCTTTACACAATACATACTCGTATAACATAAGATACGACACAAAATGTATATACTTGAAGACACGACCATGTCTTCTCCAGTAAAATGGATTGAAATGGGTTCAGATTTTCAGAAATACACATTTGCGAACGTTAAAATGAATTCTTTTTAATCCGAGAATGCATTTTTATACATTTATACGATTTAGATGAAGTACATTTCTATACCTTTCAATTTAAAAATAATTTTTAAGCTTTTCTGTGCCTCGTGAATATTTTTCAATACAAAATTCTGAATAGGAAATGCAATTTTTTAATTCGATTGAATCCAATTAAATAAAAAAAAGTTTTTGTTATTCAAAATACTCATTCGGATACATAAAATTTCGATCCATTTCAATATATTCTCGTTTACCGGATCTGATAGTATACATGTCTCTAGTTTACATATATATTTCCGCATAAATTAGATTTTTGTATAACAGAAAATATATTCTTCCACGTTATAATTTTGCGAATATTTTTAGCCGGTTGGAACAGCAGCTGTAAATTTCGGTCACCAAAGTGGAGAATACAACATGGAGTTAATTATTGGTGATGCTGTGATTAGCAATCCGTTCCAGTTTAATATTGGCACAGTAACTCTTAAATTTCCCGAGCCGACTTCAATGGAAGGGACTGATAAGAACATCTCTTATAAGCAAAAACCGAATGTGTATACAACCAAACCGGAAATAAAGGTATTTTTTCCCTTAATTTATACATATATGTACCTGATATATGCCAATGGTCGTTAGTGACATAAAATCATTTATAATTTTGTCACTTCCAAAACATTGGCAAAGAATTACGTCAAAGTTAGTATAACATTCGCAAAAGTAGCATTTGCGCAATAGTTTTTAGTTTCTTTGACGAACATCGACATTTATTTGAGAAATTGAAGCTGTTATCAAAGTGTTTTTCTGAACTCTTGTTACTTTCAAATTTCAGCATATGTTCCGCGAACCTGAACGTAGACCTCCGGCATTTGTGTCAAATTTATTCACAGGATTATGCTTGGCACCAGTTTTACTATTGTTGATTTTATGGGCTAGACTCGGTGTCAATATCTCGAACTTCCCCTTGTCTCTCAGCGCGATTACATTCCATCTTGGATTAGGAGGTAAATATCATTTCATTGAGATAGAGTGCATTTAATGTATAATTAGATTTCCATGCATATTTTTTTAAGTAGGAAAATAAGATTAAATAAGATCTCTTGTTTCATCAAAACAACAGTCTAATACACATATGCACGCATGCGGACGCGCGTGTCATTCACTTCTTCAATATACTTGTCTCTCTGACACTTAATGATATAAACTCTCCTCACTTATCGCAAACTTCGAACCTGTTCAAAAAATTTCCCTTTTACAGCTCCGAATGCCCTTGTCCTCCTGTTCGCTTTTATCTTCTTTGATTTCTGTACTTACCCCTTTCTCTCTCTCTTCATCTTCTTGATCCTTTTCTCTAGCCATATGAAGGAGGGTGTTAAAAAAAGTATCGATTTTCGTCCCGAAGATACACCTGAATAGACATTGAAAAATCATTTGAGTTCTTAGAAAGCAGAAAAAAACAGGAAAAATAACTTCCTCTTCGCATCAGGGAAACATCGCTAGAATTGTTTAAATATAGTAAAAAATAACAATGACAATACTTACAACATTATTGATCGTGTGTGATTAATATTGATGGATTGATGTAGCATTGAATAAGTATAAATACTAACTAATTAAATAAGAATAATATTAGCAGTAGTTGCTTTCCATTTACACCGATTCCCAGATAATTCTCACTTGTGATGTCATAATTCAGTTGAATGCGCATTCCTTTTACACTCTGACTTTTTTACTTTTTATGTTTTTTATTTTTTGTATATTTTTCAATATATATTTTTTTTACACGTTTTATAATTTTTATTTTTTAATACATGTGTGTACACATACATGTTTAATACATTTAGTATTTAAAATACCACTAAAAATAATGGTATTTTAATCCAAACTCAAGAGCCACTAAAGTGGCTTTCCCGGTAGTCTAAAGGTTAAAGCCTCGGACACAATGCGAGGAAATAGCGATAGCGATAGAATACCACGATTTCAACTTATCGGAAACTGTGTGCATTCCAATGTATATCTGATTTCTAATAGGTTACAATTCTGTTCTCTTGCTATCGCTATTCCCTCGCATTATGTCTGGGACTTTATCCTCATAATCCGCTTTATTGACCATCTTTGCTATCAATTTCTCGTTGTTGCCTCATTCTATTCTCACAAATCTCTATCTTTTTAACTTCTCCAAATGCCTCCTATTCTCTAATAATCTTTGCATAAGCTATGCACTCATCCACTCGTACATTACTTAACAACTAAAGCCCTTTTATTAGTTAATTTAAATTTTATTAGTTAATTTAAATTTAATTTAAAAATATAGTAACGATATAATAAAAAATATGCCCGATATATTGCTTGGCAGATGATGTTATGTAGTCTATCTGTTTTCATTGGGCGTACAGTATGCCGTGATGTTTTTCTCGAATGTGATTATGTTCACATTTGTAATCAATTCACTACAGAAATTATTTAAATCTACCACATTGCACCACAATACAGTATGAATAACTATAATTGTTTTATTTTTAGGCATCTTCGTACTCTTCGGTATTTTCTGGTTGAAGCTTAATATGTTCGTGACGCTGCAATATCTTCTTGGTTTTGGTATTGTTACTTTCCTCACTGGTAATAAAATGCTATCTCAGATAGCACACAGGCACAAATCATTACGTTAATTTATACTCTATTGTGTGAAAATTCTGTCGCAGTTGCAGTTTAAAGTGCATAATAAATACAAAATATTGTTGATAAGTTCAGAATGGCCAATCGACTCGTTAACTTGACAATATCATTGTATTGCACTGTTTTTTCACGTATTAAATGTGTATAAATCATGTAACATATATATTGTTTATTTGGTTTATTACATGCTTTACTTTACAATGATCTGGATTAAATAATTAAACAATGTTTATATTTTATATCAGCGTTAATGATTAGAGACAGTATTGATAAACTGAAATTATAATTCTACATCTAGGCTTAAACTATAAAATTTGATATTAGCGTTAAATTATTTTTATTGGTATAGTGTTACATTTTATACAAACTAGTAATGAAACTTCATCATGTATAATACCGATAAGAGTAAGTAAACTAAAAAATGCTAAAATCTTGCGTTTGTATCTAGAACAAATAATGTTTCTTTCTAGTCGTGTAAAATTTTAAATATAATAAAAAATACCAGCATGATTGTTGATTATTCAACATAATGTAAAATAGGTTACGAATCAGTACCTATATTAAAACAAATTGTGGCATAATTCATTTGTTATTGAAGCAGTTATTAAATTATTTATACCTTTTTTTTATTCTTTTCACTTACTCTCTCTCTCTTTCTGCATAATGTAAAAACTGATACGTTCGCGCAAATGTCTCGCCTCAGCCTTCAATTTATCCCTCTTCGATCGCAATTGCATGGTAGTCATTTGCACAACACTAAATTTCCGCCAAAAATTTGTCATATCTTGAAAATCTATAATCTGTTATAAATTCCTTATGAAAAAAGGTTTTCTTTTAAGAATTCAAGAACTCTCTATTACATATTCGTGTATACCTGACGGGACACATTCCAGTCTGATAGGGCAATGATTTGATATGACGAGAGCATTTGTGAGCTTTCCGTATGATTAACAAACGGAATTATTTTCTCGTTTTGTATTTCATATTTACGACAGATTTGCATCAGCGTAAGCAATCGTTTGCCTTTAATTACAAGAAATTCTACATGTTTTATCATCCTGTTATATTTGATCGACAATATCTTCAATTGATTCTTATCTTTCGTCTGTTCTAAAATTATTTTACATATCTCAATATGAAATTGTCAAAAACTGTATTTATTGATTATTATTGTCGAAATCTTAATAAGAAACTGTCAAAAATTGTATTTATTGATTATTATTGTCAAAAATTATTATCAGTAATTATAATATTTCGATTTAATAGTCTGAATAGAATATAAAATAAGATGTAACGGTAATATTATTGCTGTATAACAATTTCTTCCGTGCAACTAAAATTACGAAATATAAATTTTATAAATATTCAGTTAAAATCAAACAAGATTTAACAAAAAGGCGATACACGCGCACCTGAGAGAAGACGATTTTTTATAATACAGGAAGCTTTCTGGAAGAAGTCTTGTTCCGTCAGAATTTTAGAAATTTTTTTCTTGGCCATGGAATCATATGTCGTTATTTTACCTTGGAACTTTCGTATATCCTCGAAAAGACTCGCTGTATGTAATAACTGTTGTGCTATTACTTGTTGGTCTTTCTCGTCCTTACTTTTAAGCATCCCGTAAGATTTTCTGCGATTCTTTGTTTCTAGAACGATGTAATATTAATCAATATTAACTTACCTAATTTGCATTTGATAGATGTGCAGTTGTATATTTGCAGTTTGAACTTTATTTCAAAAGAAATTTAATAAAAATTCATTTATTTGATTAAAATTATAATATTTTCTAATGGAGAACTAAATTTTATTTAAATTTGTTTCCCAATAAAATAGTATCAATAAAATGTATATAATTTATAAGTAATTTTATTTAATATTTTAATTAAAAATATGTATTAAATATAAACACACACGCACACACATACAACATTAAAGATTCATTATATAAAGACAAAATATATTAAGGCTCCTAAGTAATCATCGTGAACATATAGGTAAGGATGTGTGATTTTCAAAATTGTGCATTGTGATTGCGATCTTCCTCAAAAGTAAGGATATATCAGGTATCCGGGAAGTATTCGCTATTCGGCCCTTTTTTACTATCTGGCTAGATATGTTCGGATATCATTAGTATCTGGCAACATATGTTCGGCTGAAATTTTATATCGAAAGCTTGCGTCATTGATGCAGAATTCTTTCTTTTTAACTGAAATTCTTGCTTATTCATCTTTCCTCTTTTTCTTTTCACATTGAGGAGATAAAGAAAATATTATTATCACTATCCATACAGCACAGAATTTGCAGCACTATCGCTACAAAATCTGCAATATTGCTGCAATGTTGTTGCAACTTTGTGCTGTAGGGGTATTTTTCTCTTTTATTCCTTTCCTCCCCTCCCCTCCCCCCTTTTTTAGAAAAGAATGGAGAAATTATATCGTATACCCGAAAAATATCCGGTATCTAACCGGACAATTGCCCTACCGAATATCATTCTTTTCAGATATCCGATATCTGGTATCCATTTTGTTACATGTCATTTGTAAATAAAGACAATTTGGAATAAAACGAAATGATGAGATCGCTTTAAAATACCATCTAATAGTCTGTAAATGGTGTGAAAGGCACATGAAATAGTCATAAATGGTCATAAAAGGCACATGAATCATAAATGTTCCCTTACTATTTTGATAATCCGACAGAATTCGTCGAAGATTTTCCCAGGATTTTTGTAACTGATTTTCAAGTTGTGTCACAGAAATTCTGCGTGTATCCTTACTGTCTTCCACGAATGCATCAATCTTACCTTCCAAGATACAATTTTAATATCAACCAAAAATAAATTAATTGTATTAAAAATTTACGTTATTTATTATATATTTTAATACCAAAAATAAATTAATTGTATTAAAAATTTACGTTATTTATTATATATTTTAATAATAATGAATAAATAATGGAAATAATTTTTTTTTTTAAGAAATAACTATTTTAGGAACTCGTTTAATTCATAGAATAAGACATAGATTCACGAGGCATTTAGAAGTCAGCGCTAGTACTGATTTGCGCAAATATAACCAATGATAAAAATATATGTATAAATAAAATTTAATAAGTTCTGAACGTTATTAAATATATGCTGAGGATGGCTCAAAACGGAGCCGAAACATCCAGAAGATATTAAATTTTATTTATACATATATTTTTACTAGCGCTGACTCCTAATGCCTCGTGAATCTATATGTCTTAAATTTTATAAAAATATTAAAATGCTATAATTTTTGCTTGTGTCCACTTTCAGTAAACAAATTTATACCTATTGTTGGTAAATATGTAGATTAGGGGAGCCCTCCCCAATGACCTTGACATTGACATACGTTGTCAAGGTCACGACCCCGAATGACCTTGGAAAAGTTTTAACCATCGAACATTACTCGTTAAAAAGTTATAAACAAAAAAAGATTTAAGAAATAATGTTTCATTTCTGCTTTAAAAACGACTTTCCACGCGAAACGACTTTCACCTCACTTCCCTCTTGCCAAGGGAGCGTGAAGAGTCCTGTGCGTATGTTAGGTCGTTATTCAAAATGGGACACCCTGTATACGTATATAATATAGAATTGGAAGCAAGCGAAATTCTGATAAAATTATACAAGATTAATAATAATATACTTAAGGCGATGCTTTTAACATTGTTCGATAATTCTTCTAATTGTTTGTGAATGCCGTGAGTGATTGATTGTAACAAGACTTCGTTTTGCTGATAATAAATTTTGCCAACTCCTATGTCCGTCTGAATAAGTATTTCGTCTAAGGTCCTTCGATAACTTCTTTCTTTGCTCTGTATTCTTTCTCTATACGATATTAAAAATCGATCTATAATTTCAGTATATGATTTTGTAGTTCTCTGATATTGTTCTTCGGCTTCGGTCAATTCATCCATTAAAAAGCTTATTCTAGAAAAGATCGAACAGTCGTAAAAATATTTTTATAAGATGCATAAATTTATCCTATGGAAAAATATCCAAATTCTCATCAAGAAATGATATTAAAACTAAAATTTTATTTTTTTAAGACTTTATATCATACTAGTTAGGATTAATCTATTAATGTTATTCAACTATTTTTGCTTTCAAAAATAGTACAAATAAATTATATAAAATCTTAGCAACTATTTTAGGATAAGAGCAACAGACATAGTAAAATAATTTATACTATAGGGAAATCTGTTCAAGAATGAAATATTCTTTAATTGTTATTCAAATCTTATTCGATGAAGAAGATGAAACTCTCTAAATGCACTAAACAAACTTTCTCAATTGGCCAATTGATCGTAACACACATGACAACCTGTAGTCTTTAATATCGAGAGCTCGATCGAAATTATGCCACGCAATCTTCACATCTTCGGCGATTTGCGGCATTTTGATTCTCATCATCATCTCTCGCCATAATGTCCGGTAACGTTTTGTATTTAAAGTACCGAGCTCGATTTCGTGCATCAAATACTTTTTCCACATTTGAGCACGTTCCTCAGCTTCATGTTCTCTTGGGACCTTAGACTTCTGTTGTACTTTCTCCCATTTAACTATCCCCTCCTCTTTTTTCTCATTTAAAGTAGATATCTTTGTAAAAACATATATTATATAAAGAGTATTTTATAAGTGTAACAAAGATTTTTATTATAATGAAATAAATATTTAAATCACTGTAAATGTTAAATGACGAAATGTTTTCTCAATAATTATTTAAATTCTATCTAGTTGCGATGGTTTTTCACGACAATTTGTCAAATGACCGATAAAAATTTTATACAAGTCTCTCTAAAGGCCCGTCTACAATACACGGAGTAAGAAGTAAGAGTAAGAAATTGACCAATTACAGTCGAATGTGAAAAGAATAATCGACTGTGATTGGTCAATTTCTTACTCTTACTTCTTACTCCGTGTATTGTAGACGACGCCTTAACAACCTCTCTTTTTTACAAATAAAATAACATTATATAGCTTTCTCACAAAATCTGCATTTCTAAGCAATTTTTTACACTCACGCACTCACACACGCATGCGTATTTCGTAAATTAAATTACCTAAGGTATACAAAGTAATGTATAAATTAAACGTACATAAAATGAATATACATAAAAGTACTGCAGTCTTATAAAATTATAAATTTACTTTTTTTCTAAATGGCCTTTATAACAAGAAACTTGTTTTATAGCTTTATTAACAGTATTATATAGTACTTTTTTACTTGGAAAGAACTTTAAGGAAATATAAAAATTAATGTAAATAAAATTAAAGAATAATTTGAGTCTCTTAATATTTAAAATCGAATTATTGCTAAAAAAAGGGCTATGTAAGTGACACAGCAGTTATTGTAGCGTATGGTATTTTATAATGTTTAATTTATATAGTTTCACAGTACGTTCATCATATATATGTTGAATCTACATTTTGAACGTTTCGACTTATTTTAAGTCATCTTCAATGATTAATTGATTGAGAAAAAACAATATATGATACACACTTAAGTCCGATGTCCACGATGCTAGAAATCGGTCCGAGATGTCGGACAGAGAAAAAATTAACAAATCACATTTGAACAATTTGATCACATGACCATTGCGATTGGTCAATGCTTTCTTCATCCGAGATATCGGACCGATTTCTAGCATCGTGGATACAAGGCTTAAGGCCCGATTTCACAATATATGGTTACTTAAAGATTAAAGGTAACCAAAAAATTCATAAATGAATTTCATTGATGAACCTGTTGGTAACCTTTAATCTATAGGTAACCATATATTGTGAAAACGGGCTTAAGGCCCAGTTTCACAACTCATGGTTAACTCGTAACCGAGGTTCAACTTATTTCACAATTTTAGAATTGGAAAGAGATAATTAATAAATTGAACCTTTATTAACGGGCTGCGCACAATGAAAAGAATAGGAAACAGGGAAAAGGGAATAAGAATTTCAACCTATCAGAAACTGTGTATTTCACGATACATGATTTCTGATAGGTTGAAATTCTTATTCTCTATTCCTTTCATTAATTGTGCGCAGGTTCTAAGAGTTAACCATGAGTTGTGAAACTGGACCTCAGTGATCATAGCGAATTCTAAACTTCTAGATTGAGAATGTCTATTTTAATCGTTGTGTATTGTATAAGCTAGGTCTACCATCTTTCGTAAAGAGTGCTTTGAATCTTCATGCCTCTCTCATGGATCAAAAACTTGATCATGTTAGCAGCGGTGTCTGTTAGACTTGTATCTTGGTTAAGATTTACAATACAAATATAAATGTAATTACAATACAAATCATTTATATTGTAAATCTTGACGAAGATACAAGTCTAACAGTTTTTACGCTGTTAATATGATAAAGTTTTTGAATTTAATTCATAGAGAAAGGTGTGGAGAGGCACTTTTTGCAAAAGTGATAAATCTTATCCGCTGCACGATTAAAAGATAGATATTCTAAACCTAGAAGTGTAAAATTCATTACGTTCACTGAGAGTACATATCATCGTCTTTTCTCAATCAATTAATCGTGGAAGATGGTTTAAAATAAGCCGAAACGTTCCAAATCTAGATTCAATATATATAATATATAAAGATGTATTGAAACTAAACATTAAAATGTCGTACACTACAATAACCACGATGTCGCTCTCATTGACTTTTTTTTAGCACTAATTTAATTGTAAAAATTAATATGATATATAAAAATGTTATAATAATGTACTACTCACCACTGGATGCATTTTTTAAATCATGTCAATAATTGACTAAAGTTGCATCGATATAAAATGTTTTAGGCTAAATTTCTCTCTATGCGAGACGCATGTGTTTTTCACGATTTTCTTATTTTGGCTGTGTTCCAAAATTCACTGCCAGCACTAAAAATCTACGGTTTACGTCAGGGTGCCGTCCCATGTACATACATACATACATACATATATACATGTATGTATTACGGAATCGGAACGAGACGGAACGGTTTCTTACTAGAAAATTGAGTTCACTACAATTCCGTTTTGTAAGGGTGAAATCACACGGTACGGAATAGAGAATGCATAGACGCAACCAATCAGCGCTATTCGGAATAACCAGACGTTTTCCGCACCGTGCGATTTCACCCCCAAGTCCGAACAATCAATTCGGCGCGCAGTTCAAACGACTAACACATAAGTTCACATGGAAATATTTAAATTAGATTACGATCCACACAGCTGTGACCGTTATAGATTTTATTTCTTACTTGTGAACTTAAAGCAATCTCATCATTTTATTTTATCCAATTTTTAAAATTTACAAATAGCATATAATAAAAATTAACGTGTCATTTCTCGCTGACGTTACGATTCAATATGGCTGTAATAATACTCTTAGCATTTTTCATTGGCAGAACTAGTGCGCACTCAGTGCACTTTAAAGCCGTTGTATGCACATACAAAAATCGACGTAAAAAGAAATGTACGTTTAATAAAAATATAGAAATGAATTAAACCGCGAAATATTTCATACATTTTATTGTACCATTTGATAAAATACACAGTGGCCATTTTATCAATTGAGATATATCTCACTTTTACATTTAGATTATAATAGTGTACAACAGCTTTAACGTGCACCGAGTGCGCACTGGTTCTGCTAGTAAAAAACGCTATTCAGACTGTTTAAATACTGAACAATATCGTAACCAAATAGTATATATGTAGATAAATAAAATTATAATTTTGAATGCTTATTTATATTATTAAAGAAAAAGAAAGTTGTAAGTGTTATCTTAATATAGACACAACGTAGGATATAGCCTGCGCATTCCCTGAACTTAGCATCTATGCTCTTCATTAAAATGCACCTCCAGTATATTGAACTGCATTTCTCTTCAACTCGATACTTGAATGAGTGAGGAAGAAAGAGGGGACGAGGATGATAGATCCTAGGACTGCTACTTGACTTTTTCTAAACCGATAGTGACAACTTGATAGAAAAAAAATGCACAGTCTATACTTGACCGCGTTCGGGGAGCTATCGACACTATTATGCCGATTCTATCAATCATTCATTAGATATAAAATGAAAAGAGAATGATGTAATAGCGCTAGCAACGCGCTCCTCGAACGCAGCCGACGTCCTTTCTTCTTCTTTAAAAACAAGTTCAAATTATATTTAAATTATATCCAAATGATATCATAAATAAATTCAAGTTATACATTCCTTTCTAAGTCTCTGTATGTATGTACATACACGCACGTTGTATCTCGTGCTCTGCTATATTTAATGAGAGGACAGAAAAAAACTGGTAAGAACACAGACAAGGAGATATAAGAGCGTGAATTACATTTTCTTCTCTAAAGTATATACCGAAGAAAACTCGCAAAAATGAACAGAAATAAAATATACTTATTTCGATATCGTCCTATCAATATGAAAATTTCTTACAACTACACTTCCTTAAATTTCTTTTAGATGTATCAAGATTTTCAAGTAAATTGCCTTAAAGATTCGTAGGTAACGCAGAAAATTTTACAATATAAATGTAAATGTTACATCAATAAATGTTTATCATACCAATAAGTGCGTAATTTTTAAGAGTCGCTAAAAAGTGAATTAACTGCATTAAGATCACGATATGTTACATCGGATTTTAACGATGTTCACTATACAAAATAAAATGTTCCAAATATATTATCGATTTCAATATGTAGAGTTATCGCGTTACGGAAGAGAAAGAGGATAAAATTATAGCTCTAGCATTTTATGTATTATATACACATAAATACAGAGTGTCCCAGAATATTTGGGGCAATGCTAGTAACCAGATAAAGCGGACTAAACTTAGTAGAAAAGTTCACTACCATTTCGTTGCAATTTTCCCAACAGTTAACGAGATATTGATTGTAATCATAAATGACTACGTTTATACAGGGCTCAATTTACGCCGAAGTTATAACATTGATGTTATGAGAAATGACTAATCACAGTCATTCATTCTTCAGAGGAATAGCTATGATTGGCCAATTTCATAACATCGATGTTGTAACTTCGGCACAAATCGAGCCGTGTAAACGTAGCCAATCGCTGAAAAAGCACGTATCAAGGGACAGGTCAAATGTTTATAGGTCCATCGATTATAGTGGCTAATGCCTACTGCACACTAAATGCGATGAGCGATCAACGACAAACGATATCCAATAAAAACTCTGCTTTTTCTCACGTGATGATGCAAAGCAAAGCTCTCATTGGATATTGCTCATCGCTTATCGCGTCCAGTGTGTAGTAAGCATAGGCGTGCGGACAAGTTATTTACTATACAAGTGATAATAGTGAATAGTTACGCACGACAATAAAAGAAAATAACTGCCTGGGCTGCGTTCAGAATCATCATCTGGGTGCGCCTAAAAAAAGTTCTTTTATCCTTGTTTAACATTCGTGCGAACAAGCATAAAACGACATCTGAGTGCATTCGGACAACGATTCTGAACGCAGCCCTGCACTAGCTGATCGTATCTCGTTCTGCACTTGCATTTGGCAGTAAGTCGGATGGATACACGTTTAAGCGGCGGTACAATGAAATTTTAAGATCTTAAACTAATTTCAAAATTTTAAACTTTAAGTCCTAAATCATAAGAAATTAACCAATCACGATAGAATGTTAGAGGCATTCTACAATAAGCCATTAGTCATAAATTAGAAGTTAGAAGCTAGAAACTGACCAATCAGTCATCAATTTTTTGCTTCTGATTTCTTATTTATGACTAATGGCTTATTATATATAGAAGGGCCATAAGAAAAATAATTCATCATGATTGATTAATTTCTTACGGCTTGGGACTTGAAAGCTTAAGTTTTATGCTTTAAAAAATTGTTGTACTTAATTTAGCGATATATTTAGAAATTAATATCTTATTAACTATCGTGAAAATTTCAAAATATAATAGAGAACTTTACAACTCAGCTTAATCCGCTCTATCTGTACGATACGAGAGTTTTCCTAAATTTTTTAAGAGAGAGAGACACTATATGTGTGTGTGTATTTATATATACGCGTGCGCACGCACGTACGCAGGGTATCCGGTAATGATCGCATAATTTCTCGTGGACAAATAGAACAGATTGAACTAAATTAAAATCCTACATTTTGCATTTTTCGCAATAGTGAAATATTAGTATTTAATATTAATTGCTAAAGATATTAATCGCTAAAAATCGTCGAATATGTATTCGACCTACCAACAAGCGCGCTACGAGATACAATCACTTAGATTATAGGGACTCTACAATCATTCAACGAGGAGAAGGTATTTTAATATTCTTTATCATTGCTCTCTCTTGCGTTGCCCTTGTCACTTGTAATAAACAACTCCTTGCACGCCTAGCAACCTATGATGATAGATAGTCATATATTGCCACGGATTTATATTTGGCGGTGAGTCAATTTGAATATCTTTAGGAATTAATTTCTCGATAACTATTGCAAAAATTACAAAATGGTACAGAACTTTTCAATTCATTGTTAGTTTAGTTTGCTCTCTCTTCCCATCAGAGATTATGTAGTCACTGAACACTCTGTATGTAACATATTATTTACATGTGTATATATATATATATATGTATATATATATATATTTATAGTCTTAGATTATATAGTATATACATTATATGTAAGTAAAATGTATGGTCAGGACCTAAAAGATTGCAACACTTTTTTTTAACGAGTTTCGGAATCCGCGACCTACTCACCAAGCGATTGGTTTTTATTTGTCGATCCATGAATAAGAACTAATTGCTCGGCGAGCAAGCTGCATTCCAAAACCCATTTAAAAAAAGTGTTGCAACCTTTTAGGCTCTGACTGTACAAGAGTGCGTACATATATTAGCCGCGCTTTGTGTGTAATTGCAATCGAATTTCGATTGTATGTATAATGTATATGCGCGCGCGCGCGTGTGCGTCCGTATACTATTAGAGCAACATTGCGTGAATTATACTATACACTGCTGTTTGTTTAAAGTACAGAATTCATCCTAAAACAAACAACTATGTTTTCGCTTATGGTGCCGCTCTTCCAATGAATAATATTACAAGTGACATTTTTCGCCATTTTTCAATCAAGGGTTTTTCATATCAAGAATAATTCAATTATAACAACAATTGAATTAAGTATCTTGGATAAGTTTTTATCTACAAAGAAAATAATTTAAACACAATGCTTGCATTATGTCCAAACTATCTTCAAATTTTATAGCTATATTGTGTTAAATATATACTCTTAAAAATACATTACAATTACAAGTTATATATATGTACACACACACACACACACACATACGCGCGCGCGCGCGCGCGCACACACGCACACACACACACACACACACACACACAAAATTTTTATCATATTTCTTTTAATTGTAATTTTTTTCAGAAATCAGCTTTATCAATCTCTTCGGAGACGAAATTTATTAGTATTCGAAAGATATTCCCATATACTCAATCTTACGCGAAAGAACCTCAGTTTATCTTCGACGATCACAGATCATCGAATAAGGGTGCTTTCTATTTGATGACTCAAGTGCCGTTTTATCTTTGTCACTCTCTGAATATCAAGAAGGATAGAATGACGCTCGTGTTTTGTGTTATCAAATGAAAAGCACCCTAAATCATTAAGGCTCCTGAATAGTCATTACAGCCATATTGAATCGTAATTGATCGTGATGTCAGAAGCGAGAAATGACATGTTTGTTAATTTTTATTACGTGCCATTTATAAAGACAATTTGAATAAAACAAAGTGAGATTGCTTTAAAATATTTGTAAAAATGGATGAAAACTATGCTTATCCTCCCTGACAGTAAATAATCGTAAAGTGATAAAAGGTACATGAAATGCTTTTATTCAATGCGCATGCATAGCTTATTTTCACTTACAGTATCTTTTATCACTTTTTACGATTATTTATTGACTATCAGGGGAGATA